AAAAAAATACCTAGTATTCAACTATACAAGAGGCAGTATACATCATAGCCAACAGTCTATCTATTATATACAGCAACGCAGAACCTACATCGACTGTGAGCCTGAAACCACGGCAATGCTGACCTGAAGAGACAGAAAGATACCATATATGATTATGAGGCCAACACCTAAAATCCTATTAGGGCGCATATCATTTTGGGGCAAAACAATTAAAGCCCATATAAGACCTGCTGCCAGGAATCCCACTGTGATGAACAAGCCTCTATCTGGTTGAATTACATAAGGTTCTGAACCCTTGTACCATGCTGCAAGCACCAAAGAAATTCCTAAACCGATCAGCGTATTAAACATAGGTCCTGCATAGCTTCCTGACATAGCGATCTGCACTCCATTTCTGTCATTCATTGCAAGAGCAGTGTTTGACATTAGATCACCCATTGAATTCCCCCAGGCCAATATGGTTAGAGCAAGTATTGATGGGTTGACACCAAATATGGTACCCAACGAAACAAGCAGAGCAACAAGCTCGTTTGCTACAATGTAGAACCATATGATACTCATGAAGAATCCACCAAAAACCCAAGGGAACAAGAAGCTACGAGGTGGGTGCTCAGGACTTGTGTATAGAAAGGCAAGTACACTGAAGATGCAGCCAGCAGAAACACCGATGAAATAAGCAATTTTCCCACTCATAGGAACAATATCTTCCTGCGTATTCCACAGAACAGCCAGTAGAACGGGGGCTAAAAACGCGCTGGCAATAGCATACACCTTAGACCATCTTTCCTCCTCAACTATAGGAATCGTCAAACGTCTAGGTATACTCAAGGGTATCTCCAAAATTGAAAATAATGTAGAAAATGAACATGGTGATTCTACATTCATTTCCCCTTCATCATTCCAACCCCACAAAGGCCTAGAGCTATCTTCTACAGAAGACTTTGTATAATCTGAATAGATTGCAACATTAATATTCCATATCCAATGAGGCAGTTTCGAGGGCACCTCAGGCGAATTATTATGGCTATTGGGACTAAGCAACGAAGCATACATCGATTGATCACCCTCCCCTTCACCATTACACGACGAAAAGAAACTCCCCACCACAGGAAGCAATGGTGTCAATCCATCCAATTTCGAACCCCTACCCTTCTTATTTATAATCTCAGTTACAGCAACATACAAGCCATAAACCACATATATTGACACAAAAGCTATAGCACCCCAAATACCAACTTCACCAATAATCATTATCAATGTAAGACAAGCTATACTAAAAAGAAAAAAAACACAAGTCCCTTATAAAACATGTCTTATCAATTTGAACCCTCTTATCTGCAACAAAAAGTGAAACAACTCCTACAACTACACAAGTAACAAACACAGCACCACCCAATACACTATTAATTCCGACATCGTCACTGGAACCCCGGCCCATGAAAGCAGCAATGCTAGCAAAAACATCAGGTGCCCCATTACCAAATGGAAGCAAAGTAACACCAGCAACAGTAGGAGACATTTTCAGAAGTTCTGAAAGTTTTTCTAATGAACAACAAAAGTAATCTGCAGCAGTATTTCCCAACAAATAGAACAGTACAGCAAGCCAACAAGCAAGAATTAAGTACCCAAAAATGGAGAATTTCTTGCAATCACAGTAAATAAATCTGATGTAATTGAAATAACCACCTGAATTACATTCTGGGTGAGCAAGAACATAATCACAGCTGTTCTGATAACCTTCATGCTTAAAAACTTGGGAACAAATTTTGTAATCAGATAAAGTAGCCTTACTAACATTTGATGAAACCCCATGAATTTCTGCAATAATTCTTCCATGTTTTTCCCCAATTTGATGAATTCCACCACCATAAACCCCACTTCCCAACTTCCATTTTTCACCAAAGTTGGAATTATACATGAAAATGAGAAACACAACAGCTGAAATTCCATTAAAAAGAACTCGAAATCGAGTGTTCTTCATCCTCAAAATAGAAACCCAGTCACAAAATTCTTTAAAAGAGTTAAAACCCAGAAAAGAGAGAAATCTTTAGAACAAAAAGCCCCAGGTAAAAAAGTAGAAAATTGACAAAATTCAAGTAAAGGGTGAGTGAAAAATGATGATTGGAATAAGTACAGAAAAAGTGAACTTCCGGGTAGTTTCTTTTCTGCAATGATACTCAAATTTTCAGGGTAATTTTTACAAATTCTCTCCCAAAAAATTAGGAGAGAGAGAAAGAGTGTATGAAGAGGAAGAACAGTTGATTTTCTTAGTAGAAGGTTTTAGAATGTAATCTGATCCTTGATTTGATGTTATATATATAGACGCCATTAAAATAAGCTAAGGTGTAAAGGATTAATTCAACCAATTGGGAATATTTATGAAGTATATGCGCTACGCGTCGTAATCAACTGCAAATCTACAAAGGCCGACACGAAACCAATGGTAGGAGATTTTGGGGTTGCCACTTTATGGGAATTTTAATTTATTTGTATCAATTTTTTTGTAATTATTTGGTACTCAATGGTCTATGTGTGATATAGCCAATTGTTATTTTGTGCACAGGCGACACGAAAAGGTTAATGTTCTTTTCGTTATACTTGTAGTAGTGTAGTAATATATCGTAAATTTATACTCGTTATACTTCTATTTTTTGGTTTTTGAATTATACATTGATGTAATGCTTGTGCTTTTAATTATGAATGGTATATTCTTTGATTTACGAAGATGAGATACGAATTAAGGCATCATGTAGTGCATTATACTTTTGGGTGTGAAATAAATTTATGAGTGTGATGCTCATTTGGATCACTTGATTATGGTGTGATAACATAAGATGAGATGGAAAAAGTGTATATAAACAATTAAATCCCTTAATCTAATCAAAATAACACTTTTAAGTACTACCGACGTTAATGGAATTGATAATTCGAATATAGGACTTATGAGTGGATTCTTAATTATTTATGTGCAGTAATTATTGCTAGTCTTAACTATTAAGTAATACTCCCAATATCCTTTGCATTAAAAGTATAAAATGAGATGACCTAGCTAAGTATGAACATGTTGAAAGATGTCTTCAAAATTAAAAAAATTATCCATTTATATGTTATCGGTTCACGCATGGCTAAGCATTGAGTAACCTCTTAACTTTACACCTTGCAATCCCCACTGACCATTGCCCAATATGGGGATATTGCACATTGACACCTCAACTTAAGTTTTAGTACAATAATCTTAACATATTCTAGTTTAATTCAATGGTTTAATGGTCAAATTATTATTATTATTTTTATTATTATTTAAAACTTTTCAAATGTTTAAGAGCGTGTTTGGCAAAACGTAGATGTAGAGATAATTGTTAGCTGTGATAGTAGTTGTTAACTGTATATGTAACTGTTAGCTGTCAACTAGCTGTTAGTTGTGAACATTAAATAATTAAGTATGAGTGTTTGGTAAAGTAGTTGTTAACTAGTTATTAGTTGTAAATTTCTTAAAATATAGAAGAAATATTCCAAAAGTTAATAATATTAACTTTTCACAAAATCTATTCCAACCACTAAACTCTACTCCCACCACTACATTGTCAAACACTCATATCTTTTACCAAGTAATGGTTTGAATAAGTCAAACCACTAAAAGCTACCTAAAGCTACTCAAACGCTAGTGCCGAACACGCCCTTTAGCTTTTCATCAATGATTTGAATTTATATACTACTTTATATTTAGGGGTGTTCACCGGTCCAAAACCGGACCAGACCTGTTTGGACCGGGACCTGAATTAGTGAATTTTGAGGAACGAAGACTGGACCTGATTCAATAGGTCGGTTCTGGGTCAGACCTGAAAAATCAGGTCCGGTCTGGGTTTGGACCTGAACAGACCTATTTTGTATTTTTTTTTTCGTTTTTTTTCTTTATTCAGAACAATATAAATTAGCATTACAATTATATCAAAAACTAATTATAAATTAAAATTCGAAATTATATCAAGCCAATCATAGCATAAATTAAAATTATACAAAAATTCGAAATTATCTAAAAAATATAAAGTAAAATTACAATCATATCAAAAACTAATTATAATCAGAAATATTGAAAAAAAAATTAGATCTACATTTTAAACTCAGCGAAAATAACAATAAATCAGCGAAAATAAGGAGACTCCAACAGCGGCGGCGATGGCGAAGCGTTCGGCGATCTTCAAAGGGTAAGGAGGCTCCAACGTTGGATTATGGAGCAATCTAGATTCTGGAGCAACTGAGAACTGACTCATCTGAGTACTGGAGATCTGGACCAACGGTGTCATGGAGAATTGAGATTGCATTGTGTTTAGATTGTGTTTACATGCTCACTTGAGAATTGAGATAGGGGGGGGGGGGTTATAGGAAATATCTTAAATGAGTCCTATGAAATTTAATCCCTAAATCTTAGGAAAATGAAGTAGGAAGCGATGTCAGTACTCTACCGAGAAATTCTCAGACTATAATAATTTGAGTCATGAATGACTCTAATAACACGCTTTGGTATTAAATTATACTTTAGATGTATTATCTTGATACCAAAACACTTAATCGGTGGTACCAATGAATGCAAAAATATTTGGTTGGTATGGATATGATTTCTTGTTGGTATTTAGATGATACCATCTAAACACAATGTAATACCAATGGTGTGTTGTTAAAGTCATTCATAACTTTAATTATTAGAGGCGGAGAATTTCTCGTACTCTACTACCTCAATATCATTTTAGTTTGACTATAGTGTTGAGTGTTGACAGAGTAATTGTTTTGTATTTAGTTTCTTAATGGGCTAAGTTTAGGCCATTGGCTTAGGTTGTATATATACCTTGTTTACACAGTTTTACAGACCAAGGATTCACATTATTGACAATAATAAACAGAGCTTTTGAAAGGAGTAATAAACAAAGCTTATAGAATACGAGTATATGAAAATATATTATCTCTTTGTATTTTTTTCAAGTACGTATAAGTTTAGGGGGAAATACAAGTTACTCATCATGAGTAACGTTTATCGTAACTCAAGAGACACGGTCGTAATTTCGAGCGCTTTAGTTGGGGGTATATTTGTCAAGTATGATTTTAAGTGAGATTGGGGGAGTTAACGCCAAGAATGGTCATTAACGTTTAGAGATGGTGAAAATTAAAGTTAGGGTTTGGTTTATCGAAATCAAATTCGCACAGAGGTGGGGAGTCGCCAGGAGTCGGGTTCGTTCACCATAATTCTCTCATAAAATCGTCGAATTCACACAGAAGAGTGGGCTAATCGTTGGAAGTGCAGAGGCAGTGGTTCGTAGAGCGTAGAGGGGACTCGCAAGAATTCATCGAAAGCAGACCATAATTCTGCCACAAATCGCGGTTTGCAAAGTCAAAATTGTGGTGTTGAAGGTAAGTAATTCGGTTAGAATTTACCTGTGATGGAGTGAATTGATTTAATAAAGTGTTCATTGGTTTCCATTGATGGTTGCTTCTTTGATTGTTTTGGATGGTTTACTGCTGATATTGCTAACACAAAAATGCATCCCTGTGTAAATTTCTAGCACATAGTGTTCATTTCCTGCCATTATTGAATGTTTTATTGAATTTGTGGATAATTGTGTAGCGATGATATTTAAAGTGTGAAAAAGTAGAAGGTTGAATGTTTTATTCAGTTTGTGGATAATATTGTATTGATGTAGTGATGATATGAGTGAGAAGTAGTGTAGTTGTGATGATACGAAGAATTTGATCACTTATGTGATTGTTATTCAGTGAATAAGTGTGAATGTGATTGTTAGTGTGAATGCTGTGATGTGTAATTATGTTAGTTACCGACATAGTGCATCAATACATGTGGTACAGGTTGTTGAATACCCTGTGATGAAGGATCGACATCCAGTGTTCCCTGAAATGTTTAAGGTATGTAAGTTATTCATTTTGAATCGTTTCTGATACAAGCATGCATTAACAGGATGATAGTATGACAATTGGTGGAGGTGTCAAAGGTAAACGTAAAGTTCTAATGGAACTAACTAAGCCTGGGAGGAGGGTAAGAACCTTGTTTGTTCCCTTGTTTAGTTATAATGAGTATGGTGATGGAATGCAACCTGAGTTTCATTATTTAAAAATAGGCACCCAATATCAATTGTCGGATTGAGAGTTTTGGAAGGATATGTCAAACATTTGATGAGCAACGACAGCGTTGGGTTAGGGAAATGGGGTTTGGGAGCTTGTTAAATCTTGTTAAGATGTAACTTCCTAGGCAGTTGGTGTACTGGCTAATGACGCGAATTGATCCGTTTTGTAAGGTACTAATTGCTCCTAACGGGATGCGTATGAAGTTGTCTCCTAATCAAGTTCATTAGGTTTTGGGGATTTCTAACGGTGGGAAGGAAATAACAACTTGGAAAACATTAAACAAAGAAATGAAGGACAAGTTGAGTGTAGACACCTGATTGTGTCTCCCCAAAACCAAACCCAGTGATGAGTACCTTTCACGTCTTTGATTATCGAGTTAGGTGAAGAGTTGAAGAGTCTCGTGAAGTTTCCTTTAGTCTTGACCATTTCTAACCTTTCTTTAAATGTTTTAAACCCAAAATAATTCATTTCGTGTCCTTAAAATCATTCTTTTCGTGTCCTTTTTATAAAAACGTCCAAACCAATTTATTTTGGTCCATAATCTAGGTCCAATAATTGCGTATTATAAGCCTAAATCCGAGTTATAACGAAGAAGTTATGGCCAAAATACTAAACTGGGTCCAAACCGTGCCTTATCTGCGGACCCAATGATCATGTGGAGGGTCCATTTATCTTAACTGTGTTTCTAAAACCATTAGGATTTATCATAAGCTTCTTGAATTATCTAGAAAGTTGTTTTGAGTCCTAAATCCATTAGGATTGATTATTAGCTTCTAGAATCCTCTAGAAGGTTCTAATTTATCCTTTTTTTGAAAAGATAAAGACTAAGAATTTTATATCGGATAAAACATGTGTTTTTAATAGATTTAATTTTGATAAAATAAGGATAAGTACGGATATTTGACTAACCCAATTTTATTGGAAGTCGGATTCCGTACGAATCTTATCTTCTGAAAAGCATCACGCAGCGATGGAAATATCGCACAACAATGCTAATATCGCGCAGGGATACAAGCATCGGCGCGATGAAACCATCGCTACGCGATGAAAGGCATTTTACCTCGAGTCGGATTCTGACTCTTTTTCTGATCTTTTCCCTCGTTTTTTCCTATAAATAGGGCTGTTTTCCTCCGCTTTCAATCATCAACAAGCTTGATCACCAAAAATCATCATCTAATCTCCCTTTCTATAAGCTTTAAGATTTTCTCTCTTTCTTAGCCTTAGCCTAAACACAGCACACCATACGTCCTTTGTGAGACTTGAATACTCCAAGCCCGTCTCGAAATTGCCTTCGACCTCGACGTGAAAGGTTGATAATTCTGAGGGTTTGGTCCCTAATCTATATTTCAATTCTTATTTGATTTATTTTATTTGTTTGATTTAATATTTTTTGAAGTTACTAACGTGTGTATTGTTTTGATATAAAGAGATACGAGGCATCAAAGTGAGTAGATCTACTATATTTATTTCTTGCTTTTGATATAGAAATGAATCTTAGAATATTATTTTAATTTCTAGTATCATGTTAGGATGCTTTTAATATTTCTAATATCATGCTTGCTGGTATCATGTTTAGGATAAAGCTTTGATCTTTATTGTTTAGTGACATGTTAGGATTGTTATTAATCCGTTTAGTATCATGCCTAGGATCTTGCTAATATTATCTTGGAGATATAGATTTATTATGATGATGATTTGTTGTATCAATAATAATTATATATTGCTTGATTATTCATTGTTATTGCTTGATCACGCCTTTTCTGCAGGTTTAAAGGACATTTGTACTTGAAATCACGCCTAATAAGATAATTAACAATTTGATTTTAGATTTAATATGATTTAATTCAAGTGATCGCCAATAATAGATTTATTTGTGCATTAATAATCAACCAACGTAGATTAAACATGTTTAGGATTAACTTATTGTATGTATGTTGATCAGAAAGCGCACATGAATATCATTAGAATTATAGAGGCCGATTTAGGGCGGGTTCAATCTCTTTTAGGTTGGATTCGTACAATCATCCCCGAATCCAGTCATGGTTCCGGACCACTATGGAGTTAGCGATCTCCGTGATAGTGAATGGGGTGTAACCTTCACACCCGTGAACGTTTTACAAGTTCCTAAAACTTGTTGGCGACTCTTTTATCTCTAGCTTCTTTCCCTTTGGACGCCACCATACTTAAATGCATGATCACAGTGGGGCTCAAAGTTGATGTTGGATTATTCCCTACAGTTTTTTGGCGACTTTACTGGGGAGGATTTCTAATTTTGAATCCTAAAATTTATTTTGGCAATTGACTTTAGAATGAGTGGATGAGACTTGAAAAATTCTAGATATTCATTGTGCGTAATTTTGATTAACATTGTGGCATAAGCATGAAAATGTCCGCATTGGAAAGTCCATCCAAAATGCGTCAAAAACATAGGAATTTTACACGTAGGAAAATTGGGAAATACCTTTCACAACTAGAATCGAAAAAATACTACAAAAATACACTGGATGCCCTTTCTTAATATACTTTGCCAATTTTAACACAGATACGATCCTTGGGCACTTGGTTTCACCATGCATCCAATATGTCACCAACTCATTATCAGCTGTACTCATTTTTACTTTCTGCGATCGACAAGTAATCTCTGTGCTGTACTTGCTCAACCAATCCATTCCCAAAATGACATCGAAGTCACTCAACCCAAACTTGATGAGATCTGACAAAAACACTTTTCCTTCGATTTCTAAAGGTATATCTTTAAAGGTCTTGTTACACTTTACTACCCCACCTGTAGGAATAACTATAGGCAAATCTACCTCATCTACGATTTTCAATCAGTTTGATAATTTTGAAACAATGACCTTTGAAATGAAAGAAAAAGTTGCACCATAATCAAACAAAAATTTAACAGGAATAGAGTTAATAGAAAAGGTACAAATGGTGACATCTTTCGTGGATTCAGCCTCATGCCTACTCATTATATTCAACTCTCCTGCAGCTCCACCTTTCCGTAGGTTGTTTCCATTATTATTGTTGGTTTTCGCCGCATTTTGTTGTGCCCCCTTGTTCCCAAAATAGTTGTTGCTTCCCTGAAAGTTGCTATGAGCCCCTCCTTGATTATTGCCCTGTTTGTTCGATTGGGATCCTTGGAGAAACCTGCATACTCCCCGTGTCCTAACTTGTTGCAAGCACGACAAGTAACCAAATTTCCATCACAATCCCTACCAGGGTGGTTATTCGTGCACCTTTTGCAAAAATAGCGCCTTCCATCCTTATTATTTCCCTGGTTAGAGTTCTTAGCTCCACCATTAAAGTTTCGTCCTCCGTGACGATTGTTACCTCTTTTCTCTTTTCTTTCCCTTCTATCTCAGCTAGCTCTTTCTTTTTCTTCAACTCCAACGCATAAAGGTGTGCAGCTCTCCCATACACTTCATCCAAGGTTTCAAATACTTGCCCACACAGCTTTAACTGCAAATCGGTAGTCAGACCATTCTCAAACTTCCCAGCCTTAGACTTTTCTGTAGAAACAGACTCCTTAGCAAATCGTGACAGCTCAATAAACTTGGTGTAGTATTCAGTGACCGGCATATTTCCCATTGCAAGGTTAGAAAATTTCTTAGATTTTTGTTTCTATAAGAAACTAGGGTAAAATTTGTCCCTAACCTTCCTGAAACATAGTCCAGTTGAATCCAGGTAGTGCCTTAATGGTAGCTTCATTTTGCTGCCACCAAAGATCAGCTTCACCCCTAAGGTAATAGGTAGCACAACCTACTTTTTAGTTCTCTGGACACCCTACTGCCTCGAATAGTTTCTCAAACTCCCTCAACCAATTTTCCAGTATAGTTGGATCAGGCTCTCCTTGATAGGTTGGTGGCGTACTCTACGACACCTTCTTAAACAGCTTTCCCTGAGCATCTACATTATTGGTTGAGTTCCTTGCCAACTGTTGGGATACAACTTCTAACAGCCTCACAACTTCACTTAGCTCTCCTCCATCATTGTTGTTACCATTCCCTCCTGCCATCTTTCTTCGCCTGAATTAAAACAAGGGGTCTTTATTAAATACGGTCTTGGCTAGCTCTCAAGTTAGACACTCATGTAACTAACTCACACCCTTGACATATACACATTAAATTTTAAGCTAACAAATTGGGATTTACATAAATTAAAATTCCCAAAATTTGCAGCTTTGTCAACCAAATATTGATTGCTAACCAACCACACATTTAATAAAGCATCACATTAATAAATAAAAATAATTCCCATGGATTCCCCAGAGTTTAGAAATAAATTATTGGAATATTTTTGAGTAAGTAATGGCTTATTGGAGTAGTGATACGAAATGAATGATTTGGGAACGAAATGAATGATTTGGGAACGAAATGAATGATTTGTCCATAATATGAATTAATTAACAAGAAATAAATGAAATTTTATTGCCGAGTAAGGAAAAGAATGGAATACTGAAATAAAATGAGTTTAAATAGCTTACGCAACTACATAAGTTTACTAACTCACTGTGGACATGCCACTTATTGCTTTACTGAAACTGAAATAATAAAAATACGGAAACGAATAAGAATCCTAAAGCAAGATGAAACTACAAAAATCTAGCCATTTCAAACCTTATCCTTCTTGTTGGTAGATTGTTTGTAGCTTCCAAGATCGAATTTACGTCATCTTCTCCCTCCATTGGTTCAGGTGACTCTGGTTTTTGCTCTACTTGGACAAACTCTTCATCTTCCTCATCATCAGATGAAATATCAATTATAATTGGAAGTGGAGGTGGATTTAGATTTGGAATTTCCATAATGGAACTATCAACAATATGGTTACTCTCATCCATCATCTTTCCTTCTTCCTGCCCTCCATCTGTCCTTGCTTGGTTACCCTGAGTGGGAGAAGAACTTCCTGACTGATGACTAGTGGAAGGGGAATTATTCCCTACCGGATTTTCATAGTAGTAATTGGGATATGGAATGTGTAAGTGCTGGCAATAATCTTTCTCAACTTTAACGAGGTAAGAAATCAAGTATCTATAGTTAGGGTACCACTGTCCATAGAAATTTTTGTATTAAGAGTAGTTTGGGATGTCCCCTGGTAAATAGATATCAGAAAATTTTTCTTTGACATCAAGATATGGGGGTTCATCTGGAAGACAGTGAATAATCATAGCGGAAACACGATCAGGAAGATCATAGTGCTTGTCTCCATAGACATCACTCATGTGGGAACAATAGAATTGGATTTTCTTGATATAGTCAAACGGATGTTCATAGTCTTTCTTAATTAGAGTACCAATTTGGGAAAGTTTTCTAGTAAGAATCGGCATCCTGTAAAGGAAAAGGTTTAGAAAAGAATTCCCTTCCCAAAGAAAATAAAAATAATACAGTTCTTGCATGAATTAGGTTCAATGTTCAATCAAACAATTTCACCTATTTCTAATCATATAATCACATGCTTTCAATTAATCAATCCACATGATCAAACATCACAACCTAAGATTTAATGCATACAAGAACATAATTATTTCTAACTTATATGCCCAAATTCTTTCCTACCCTAGCTCACCAACATGCTTTTAAAAAAAAAACTTTTAACACATAATACTTACCTCAATCCTTGTTTCCCTGCAAATGAACAAACTAAAAATATTTTTTGACTCTTCTTTTAAAATTAATTTTCGAAAATAAGCCCCGAAAAATGCCCAAAATATTCGGCCGACATAAAATTAAAAAAAAAATCGGATATCCTCATAAAAAAAAATTCGGATGTCCCAAATAAAAAAAAATAAAAAAAAATAATCGCACTTTCTCCAAAATAAAAAATTAAATTCGGACCTCTAAAATAAATAAATAACTTTTTCGGTCTCCAAAACTTAAAATAAGTGCAAATAACCCTCTTTTAAAATAACTTAATCAAATAAGCACTTGACCAAGTTTAAAAACAAAACACTTTAAAACACGTTTTTGGCTTTAGTGGTAATAAAAATCTCAACCAAAGCTCCCAGATATCACTTTGTAACACTCTAGAAATTCCTTTCCTTTAAAATACCCGTTTTGCCCTTTTTAAAAATACGAAGTAGGAAAATCTAAGACATTACCGCCACCGTGAAAACGACTAAGGCAAATATCAAAGACACACAGCGGAAGACTATCTTTAAAACCATTCAAAACAAGTCAACTCAAAAAGTCAAACCAAAAGAAAGTAAAGTCAAACGAAGTCAAACCTACAACTTGGAACCATTGTAGGCCCTTAAAACCAAACAATACTGAAAACCTTTACATTAGTCTCATGAGCACAATAAAATAAATAATATTCAAAGCAAATAAAACACATCATATTCCTATGAAAACTAAGCATGATTCGCTCTTCACTCATGCCTATCATGAAAATGCTTCATCACTTGAAAAAGCTTCTCTCTACTTGTCCCCACTACTCGCCATTAGAAATGGGTCGTCGTACGGCCAAGGTAAAGACAAGGCCAAACAAACATACAAACACACAATCAGCAATGCTTAGTACATAAGCGTAATAGAAACACACTAACATGCTTTCACCCTGTCAACACACAACTTACCTTGTTGCACCTGTTTACAAGCATACAAACATTCAACACTTAACTAGACAAATACCAATGTCCATTTAATTTGATTACGCATCGAACGGGTTTCCCCCTAACCTGCCTCAATAAAGGGGTATTAACACGGGAGCTAACTGTGCCTGTATAAAAGAAACCACTCGTAAGTGGCGGAATTCCTGAGCATAATGAAAAGGAATATACAGCGTCCTGTACTCCCAGTAGAAGTTATGGTCAAATATAAAGTCGCATAACAACCCTCGTATGTTCATACTCAAGGTATATAAGTTCCAAGAGTTTTGGTGCGTAACCTGTTTCACTTTACATGATTTACATATTATTAGACTTGGTGATGACTCTCAAACCATAACACAATCAAACATTATAATTTATTCAAGCAATCAAACATACCAATTTAATTCTCGAATAATTAGTGACCACATAAATTAAATGTAGAATCCTTTTTAAACTACCTCGGTGTTAAATAACACCTTAAGCGTATAAAGCACCACAACTCCTTACCCTTGGTGTTTAGAACACCTTAAGTGCACTTAGGCACCAAAATACAATTTAATCCTCGTGTACATAGACACTTAAATAGCTCCTACCTCATGCTTATAGCATCAATAAAGATCCTATGAACCATAATAAAATTTCTTTTTCATATTCCAAACCAAATTAAACATTCAGTTTAATTAAACATGCTCTCTATCGTGCCAATAATAAAAGTGTGGTTCATAAACAACATGCCAATATAATTAATTCCAATCACCAATTCATCATAAATAATTCATACATCACAAATCAATCACCAACATCAAACCAATCAATAAATTCCAACCAACACCTATCATGATACTACTTGGAATTAGCTAAACAAAGCCTAGCATGCTTCTACATATTCAAGTAATTACCAAGTACGCGAACGTACCTTTAATATGATATCAAAATCGCCACGACTTAATAAAATCATTCACTTGAGGGTCTCCTACAAACAAAAATTACAAAGAGGCATTAATACCTATTCCACACAAATTTCCAGCAATATATACACTCTTTAAATCACTCATAAACCCTCTAAAACAAGATGAAATTTAATTTAAATCCCTTACTTTTATTCTCAATTAATGGGTAATTAAAAATCCTTTCAAGAAACTTAATTATAGCTTATATATAAAAATTCCAGCTTTATTAAATCATTTAAAATTGCTGTAATTGTGTTTTAAAACACTTATTTCAATAATTAAATCACCCATAAACAATTTCCATCAATATACATAAACTTAGAAATCTAGGGTTTATAATTTGGGGATTTTTAATTCAAAACCAAATCTGAAAATTTATATACAAAATATTTATCATCAAACATCATAAAATCATCACAAAACCCAAAAACAATAATTAGATTAAGGGTAGATTTAATTAACAATCAAAAGAATAAATTTTTTTTTTGTTCGAAGGTGTGCGCATAGCACCACCGCGGCAAGGCTGCTGCCGCGCCTGCCGGTCGGTGCTGCTGCTGCCAGCGCACGCTGGTGGTGTGTGTGTGGGTGGTGATTGAAACAAAAATAAAAACAAAGGGGAAGGGGAAAAATTAAGGGGAAAAGAAAATAAGAGGAAAGAGAGAGTTTACCTTTGGGAAAAGTTTGATTTTTGCTCATATTATGGGTATTTATACTCTCTCTCAATCACCCTCCTACTTAAAATTCCTTTACTACCCTTAATGGTCCCTTTCCTATTCAAACTTGTATTTTGACTTTCTTTAAAAACTCGTTGACTTTAAAATTTCCTTTTATAAAATAATATGCCCCAATATTTCCAAATCATGAAATAAAATATTTTCAAGATTATTAAATAATTAAAAATAAACTTTTAATTAAAATAATTCTTTTTAAATTAATGAAACACCATAAATAATTCATATCGAATTATTTAAATACTTTAAAAAATACTTATTTATATTAAAATATGTATAAAAATACAGGGTATTACATCCATCGCCATGCGATGGCTATATCACGATTCGATATTGCTATCGCTGCGCGATGGCTTTTGTTTTCTCGCGCCAAGTTCTTCCGATATTGCGCCAGGAATCTACCTTCTTGTTTTGACCGATTCTAGTACTGTTTCGCCGATTCTAATTCATGATTGAGTTTTTCCTTCTTTTCTGAACCCCATATGTGTTCTATATATGACTTTAGCCCTTGTGAATTCACGCTCCATCTACCCAATCGAACACTCTGTGCAACGACGGGTACATCCGAGTTTATGAATTCACCAAACCATGGAAGCAAGTCTAACTTGCGGAGTCCCATCCATACGCGCCAACCCTTCCAAAAGTAAGGCTTCCGCGCGATGCATCGGACTCATAACCATGGATCCTCTTTGACTACCATAATCCTTGAACTTTAGAGAACTAGAGCCATGGTTAGGTTGCAAACTCATTGCATCATGTTGTGACTATTTGACTACTTATGCATTTTTTACTTGTGCATACTTTGCTTTTGATAAACTAACCTCTTGTGTTGACTGTTTTTATAAAATCTTAACAAATAACTAATGACTAAAGACGAACTTTGCTTAATTAATTAATTAATTAATTTGGATTAATAAAGTCTAAACATACTTGACTTAGTGAGACTATAGGTTTCCCTTTTGAAAGAATTACCGAAAAAAAATTAAATTAACGTTCCAGTTCTGGCACAGAGGTTTGATTTGTGACGCGAAACGTCAGCTTTCATCGCGACGCGATAGTTATATCGCTCTGCGATGGAGCCAACGCTACGCAATATTTCCATCCTCTCGCGATGGTTCGGTTTTTCTTCCCGAGTCTTCGCGTCGAGTCTTAAACTTTTTGATTAATTAATAATCGAAGTCATAACTTAGTCTTTGTTTGAGTCTAATCACATATCTAGTTACATGGTCATTACATGAGTCTTGAAAATATCACTTTCACTCACGAGTTAATGCACACACTTTGTACATACTTTTTTCACACCATGACCATGTCTTAGGTCCATGCATGAGTCGTCTTTTCCGTCATTTGAGTTGAGGGTCCATCCTATTTCCCAATTTTTTCCATATCTTTCCACATTCACACACTTCCCATATACACATATACCTTTCTACATATCTTCCTACATGATCTTCCCATACATATCATTCACCCCATACATTATGATCTTTCCCCATCTATACATGTTGAATTGACTCCAAGTCAAGTAATTGACAATGAGTGTCCATGGTTTCCCTTTCCACAGCGTTTGGTCAAGGAGAGAAGGGTGTTTAATCAAGGACAACACTTTCATTCAAGTACTACTCTTTGATAGACCGATTCGATAAAGAAGAAAGTTCAGAATAATGGCCAGTCAAGAAGAAGTTGACCAACTTAAGCTGACTGTCAATGGACTTGCCGAGATGCTTAGTATCATGTTAGGATGCTTTTAATATTTCTAATATCATGCTTGCTAGTATCATGTTAGGATAAAGCTTTGATCTTTATTGTTTAGTGACATGCTAAGATTTGATATTAATCCGTGTTTGGTATCATGTCTAGGATCTTGCTAATATTATTTTGGAGATATTGCTTTACTATGATGATGATTTGTTGTACCAATAATAATTATATATTGCTTGATTATTTATGATATTATTGTTATTGCTTGATCATGTCTTTTCTGCAGGTTTAACGGGAATTTGTACTTGAAATCAAGCCTAATAAGATAATCAACAATTTGATTTTAGGTTTAATATGATTTTAATTCAAGTGATTGCCATTAATAGATTTATTTGTGCATTAATAATCAACGAACGTATATTAAACAGGTTTAGGATTAACTTATTGTATGTATGTTGATCGAAAAGCGCACATGAATACCATAAGAATTAAGTAGAGGCCGATTTAAGGCGTGTTCAATCTCTTTTAGGTTGGATTCGTTCAATCTCTTTTAGGTTGGATTCGTACCATCCTCCCCGAATATCAAGTCATGGTTCCGGACCACTATGGAGTTAGCGATCTCCGTGATCGTGAATGGGGTGTAACTTTCACACCCGTGAACGGTTTACAAGTTCCTAAAACTTGTTGGCGACTCTTTTATCTCTAGCTTCTTTCCCTTTGGACGCCACCATGCTTAAATGCATGATCACAGTGGGGCTCAAAGTTGATATTGGAATATTCCCTACAGTTTTTTGGCGACTCCACTGGGGAGGATTTCTAATTTTGAATCCTAAAATTTATTTTGGCAATTGACTTTAGAATGAGTGGATGAGACTTGAAAAATTCTAGATATTCATTGTGCGTAATTTTGATTAACATTGTGGCATAAGCATGAAAAGGTCCGCATCGGAAAGACCATCTGAAATGCGTAAAAAACATAGGAATTTTACATGTAGGAAAATTGGGAAATACCTTTCATAACTAGAATCGGAAAAATACTACAAAAATTGGAAAATCTAAAAAACACAGAAAACTGCCTCGAAGCATAGGAACTGTCGCGAGACGACAGGATCCATCGCCATGAGATGGCTTTTGTTTTCTCGTGCCAAGTTCTTCCGACATCGCGTCAGGGTTCTGCCTTCTTGTTTTGACCGATTCTAGTACTATTTCGTCGATTCTACTTCCTGATTGAGTTTTTCCTTCTTTTCTCAACCCCATATGTGTTCCACATATGGCTTTAGCCCCTGGGAATTCACGCTCCATCTACCCAATCGAACGCTCCATGCAACGACGGGTACATCCGAGTTTGTGAATTCACCAAACCATGGAAGCAAGTCTAACTTGTGGGGTCCCATCCATACGCGCCAACCCTTCCAAAGGTAAGGCTTCCGCGCGATGCATTCAGACTCATAACCATGGACCCTTTCAAAGGTAATGCTTCCTAAGCTAACTCAAACTCCAAAGCAAAACGAAACTAATTCAAAGCAAAATTCAAAGCAAACCAAAGCATAACTCCAACCAAATTCAAACCATATACAATGGATTACAAAAAATAAAAGCAAACCAAACCAATAGCAAAAGCCAGAGCAATCCAAACCTAATTCACCCCAAATTCAAAGCAAACCTAAGCTAACTCAAAGTTAAAATAACTCAAGCTCACAGCAATTTCAAACTTCATTCGGAAAATTACCATAAATAGGAAAACAATACAAACAAATATTGCAGCTCCAAGTCCAAAAATCAGTTACAATTTACAAATGTACAATCTCATACTTCGATTAACTAATTGCCGATTAATTACGCACCTGAAATTATGCCGTAAATCGTCTTTCGTGCGCAAGCCGACGGTCGCAGCACATTCGCTGGCCCCCTAACCGCTCGCTCGAAACCACCCGCCGTCGTCGGGCTACTTTGTTTTCTCTATCTCCATCCCAAAAGTCTTTATGTATTTGTTTTCTCTCTCTTCATCCCAAATGCAAAATAAGGAATTAATAGCGTTAAGAAACGTTACTATACTCCTGAATAGCCAACTCACCACAGCTTAATTAAAAAACATATTTGCGCAGATACCAATGCCAATATATACAAATAATGCCATTTGAGTTGCATCTCAAGTTACTCAAAATGAGTAACTAGGGCTTACTCTAATTGAAAATTACATTAGTATATCTTCGTCAGCATGAGTCATGATAAATTGATAATTCCTTACATGCGGAGTATCAAATGAGATATTATTCATGAAAAAAAATTAAATTAACTTTACTTGAGATATGTACATAAAATAATACTCCGTATTTTACATAAAGTATGAAAGAAAAACGTCCTCTTACACGTCACATGATTATTATTCTAAATAAAAATTACTATTAACGTATGCTTTAAGCTTTAATTACAATTTGACTCGATCACTAAAAAAAAAAAATACCTATTATTCTTGAATTGGGTGTGTCAATTACGCGTATGTTATTGCCAAAGGTTACTAAAAGTTTCGTTGCAAGATAATAACGATAATAATAATTGACACTATCAATAAGCTTTACTTGCCTCAAAAATAAAAAAAAAATAAAAAAAAATCAATAAGCTATACTTTTATCAACATTTGTGAATTACAGACGTAAGTAAATTAATATAGTTTTGTGAGATTTTGTTAGATCCGTTTCAATGTGTATTTAATTAAAATTGCAAAAAAAATTTAGTTTTTTTTTTTTTTTTCACAATGGAATAGTTTAAGGTAGATTCATTTAAATAATTAATATATTGACAAATGTGATAAAAGAAACACATCAATTAATTTGGTATGGAGGAATTATTACATACAAAGCACACAAAGTATTACTGTATCTATACTATATATTAAAAGGCGTTCTTTTCAAAAGAACGGTGACACGTGACACTCTTCAAAGTATATGCATCCAAAGTATATGCATCATTGCATCATATAAGCTTGCCATTTCAGTTAACAAAATAAATTGTGCTTTGAGCTGAATTCGAACCCGCAACCTCTATCATATAAAGGTCATACATTTACTATTTCAACCAAACATTTTATTAATGTGTTAAATTTCACATAACATTGTATATTCCTTTTGTTTATTAAGTAAATTAGAGGTTACATATTTTAATAACTTTTACAAGATTAGAAAATACATACATGTGAGGTTTTAAAAAAAATAAAGCAACACCCGAGGCAACGCCTGGACCACACACTAGCTATACAAACAGTCGAACAAATTATCAAATCAAAGAAATACCAATTAGGAACCCGAAACATCGCCCGAACCACACACAATTTTTTTTATTTAAAACAAAAGTTTATTTTAAATTACAATAATTAAACTTTAATTTGAGCATTGTGCTTTATATAAATATTTAAAGTTTATTTTAATGCACATAAAAACAGGTGTAACGACTAACGAGAACACAATTTGACGTTTATGTCGACGGTGGACCAATTAATAATTTTGGACTATATTTATTTGATGGGCCCCATCAGATTTTATATTGCTAAATTGCTAATTAATAATTTTTTATTATTGATGACGATGTGCAAAGTAGTATATTTTACATATTTTCCTAGAAAAAAAAAGTACTGTATAATTTACATATTTAAATATCATGAAATTTTTTTATGAGAAACTCCAAATTTCTTCTTTATTTTGTCAAGATGATATTGCTATTTGTCAATATCTCTCAATAAAACAAACACTCAAGTGGCCAAGTATCATTCATAAACTATCCATGTTTGTCGATAGACATTTTTAGCTTGCTCATGTTTGTGGAAAAACTTGAATTTATTGTTGTTGAAGTTATCCTATCCAAGTTATTTTGAATTTTTAAGTTGTATCATGCAACCAAATATTTTGCTAGGTTATATACATTATGCATACTTGTTTGCAATAACTAGCATGATAAGATTACGAGAAATTTAGGAAGTTGTTATTTGTTATTGATAGACATTAAATATGCTTACATTATAATGTGTATATAACATAAACTGAATGTAATAATGCGAAGTAGGACATTAGCGATAATATTTTCTAAACTAATAACACAAACACGTGTTTTTGTAGAACGCTACTCAATTCTTAATTCATAAGGTTAAATCTAAATTTCGAACCTATGTTGTTACTTGTTAGTGAAAAGTTACATTTCCTAGAAGGTTTATTGAATTACTTAATTTAAAGGTAAATCTTAATTATAATAAGTACTCCATATATATTAAAGGTTAATGTTAATTATATGATAAGTATCTTAGAACGTATATTGATAGGTTTAATTTGCTCCCATAACTCTGTTTAAGTCATGCTTTCTCTCTTCGCTTAGTTTAGCCTATGAAATAGCTCTACCGTCTAGATTGAGTTTAAATTCCAGAATAGGTGATTTATAGGAATTGAATGACTTATATTAAACTAACACAAATACTTATGTGATGGTGATGTATATTTAAAAGGAAATATGCATGAATAATTCAAAATTTCTGTCATCTTCTTACATAATGAATTATATAAACTAATTTTGGTCTTTAATTATCCGTTTAAACTTTTACTTGAATTAGTTAAATAATATCGTACGGAGTATCAAAAGTTAACGTGACAAGAAGGTCACATGTTCAAATCTCATCAATATCTTGTTTCAAGTGGAATGTTACGCGTTGAGTAGGGGAGACCCAAGCTGCATACACTAGCCCAAAGAACTCTCATGTAAAGGTGCGTGATAGAGTATATAAATCAATCCTAGTCTTCAACAAAGCTTAAACTTTTGGTCGAATTAGTTCCCTAATCATACGAAGTACTTTATTAGTGGTGTTCCAAAAATATTGTGAACTATCCAGCCCAAAAAAATAAATAATGAAGAAATAGACCTAATCTGGCCCGATCTTATCGAACCCGACCTAAGTAATCGAATTGACACCTCTACTCACTAGTACGGAGTTTGTACTTTATGTACCCTCGTTGTTTACATACCAAAGTAAAAACACTAACCAGTATGGCATTATGTGCTTACATAGGTAAAAAATTTAAAAGAATATAGTTGTAAACTTGTAATGCGGAGAGCACATTTTGACGAAAACTGATTTTGACAGACTCTTAATTAATATTGGCATAACTTTATTTTTACGTGAACAAAATAAGCTCGGCCTTGAAAATGTTAGATTGTTAGGCCAGGTTTGG